TGCCAGATTAGCCTCTGCTTGCTGTGGGAAGAAGCTGCTTTGCAGCATCCTGCCCTGCTGCCCCCTTGCACTAGGGATGTAATAGTCTAGTCGATTAACCGATAAGCAAAAGCTTATAGGTTAATGCTATAGACTACATGCATTTTCTCCCCGCCCCTTGCCAGTAAATTTTTTAGCAGGCTGGCCAGCAGCCTGGCTCAGTCCTGCCTTGCAGTTGGTCCTGGACCTACCCCCAGCTGCAGCTCTGCATTTAAAGTGTATTAGGAACCAGCCAGGCTGCCTGGCTCAGTTCCGGCTCACGCCAGGTCTAGGAGCTCAGATCCCTTCCCCCAGACAGGGGCTGCCCAGGGACTATAAAAACAGTCGACTAACTGACAAGAATTCATGAGGTTAACCGACTATTCAATTAACCGATATTTAACATCCCTACTCTGTACTGCTGCCTCTACTTTTAAGTGGGCTCCCCTCAGCACTGGCTCCTGCTCTCCCACCTTGCTGCATCTGATACAGCAAGGTGGGGGGAAGTGAGCAGTCTAGTAGCTCCCAACCATTTTTATACCGTTGACCGGCAAACCTATTCACAATTTTTTGGTAGTCTGGTAACTTTTTATATTTCATATTCATTACGCAAATAACAAATATGCAAACACACAAATAAAATGTTACCAGTCTGCCAAACCTTATACCCTCCAGCCCTGACTCCTGCCCCTCACACACTTAAACCCTAACTCCTGCACCCCTACATATTCCTAGCCTCAAGCTCTCCCACACTTATATTTCTTAGTGTAAGACATTTATGTTATTTTCAACCCACCAGCCAAGTATCTCATTAGCAGGACCATTAGTGGCAACCATAAGGCAGACTCCTATGGGGACAGGACCAGAGCAAGGAAGGGACGCAGCTCCCTCGGCAGGGCGGACTCTCATGTGACCAGGCTTGTGCAGGCGCCCACCCATAGCCAGTTGCTATGGCCAGCCTCAGTGCCATCCCCTCCAGAAATGAGCTGTTTCAGCTCCCGCTTCATGCCCCGCTGGGGCTGCACTGCCAAGAAGAAGCTCCTGGGGCTAAAGTCCCCTCCACTATCTCAGCCTGACTGCGCCAGATCCCTCCCACCCCCACAGGCCACACCTGGTCTCCTTCACCATTCAAGCCCAACCCCCCATTCCTCCTGGGTCCCCTCCACTATCTGAGCCTGATGCCCCACTCCCCGCAACCCACACCGGGTCCCCCCTGTCATCCAAGCCCGACAATCCCCCCCTAACTCCCTCACACCTTCCACCGAGATCCCGCATCCCCCAACCTGTTCCTGCCCCTCCCTTCTTCCTCCCTTGCCAGACACCTACCCCCAGAGAGAGGTGGTATGGCAAGTGTAATAAGCAGGGAGTGCAGCCTGCTAGTATAAATATGAAAACATGAATTGAAATTTTCCTCTGTGCTTTCATGTATCATCTCACATATAATACTGCATATTAACTCATCCTGGTATCCAGGGCTCGCCAAGCGGCGACAAGCCCCACTCGCCAGCCGCGCGGAACCACACACTGCACATGCACAGATCAGGCTGTGCTAGGCTAAAATCTACTCGCCATGGGCAAGTAGATTGCTTTAATTGTTGAGCCTTGCTGGTATCTATCCACCCAATTGCCACCGTTTCTTTGACCTGGAATTGTTCCAGTAACTATAAAACAAATGTCATCTTGGGTCAAAGTATAATTTATATATACTGGAACTTCAGTAGCAGCTTACTGATGAGAGGAGACTGTAGTCTTTCAAAAGAGGAGCTTGAACAATTAAACATTCTCGGAACTTTATAGGCACAATTACGTTCTCCCTCCAATACATTTTAAGTATTAAATTCTTATAGCAAGACAGGAGGCTTAATTTATATATTATATTTCAAGCCATTTCCTTCAGCTTCAGGTTTTCAAGAAAGTAAAAAGAAAGCAATTAATTTAATTTAAGATTAGTAATAAAACTAGTAGATATTGCCAAGGTAAATACACACATGTATACTGTCCCCCAACATAACAGCTTCAATGTCCAACCACTCCAAAATTCAATATTCTGGTGGTACAGTGATTAAGTTATTCTTACCTTCAGAATTATTGTTATATCTTCTTTATTAGAATGTCCAGCTATTTGAGTTACTCTGTATTCTAACCACTGGTGAACTACTGCTTTCTCTTCTGCAGTACTTCCAAGTAGCTGTTCTTTCTTAGCTTGTCTGACTAGATGGGTGGCTATAGTAGCCAATCCTATTAAACTGGGACCATTGTTTGTTTGAAGTACTGGAATCTAGAAGGAAACAAATACCATGTAAGTTTGTCATGTTTAACAAAGGCTAACCTTTGAACAACCATATTATATGGTATGCCAGTATGTTCACTTTGTTATTGAAACATTACGTTTTATTTTTGCCAAAAATAAATGAAAGCATCAGAAGATCTGTCATCTCCCAGAAATCTTCAGATAGCCTCTCACACAATTCCACATTTTCAAGTGTAAAAATACAATTTCCTACTATAAAAATCCACAAACATCCAGCTTTTCTGAACAGCCATAAATAAAATCAGACTCGTTAGATTTTCTCAGCTGTTATTTTAAATAACTACTTTGTGCAAGCGGAGAGTTCACACACAGTTAGGTGCACAGACACCAGCAAGACAGATTGAGTTCTACAAGTTTGGTGACTGACCAAGCTACTGAGAGAAAGCTCTTTCAGGAGGCAGTACATTTGTTGTTTCACCTTAATAAAAAGTTCTGTATTGCACTTCATTATTAGGGTTAAGCTGCAGGTGGTGTAGTGTTGAATTTTAAAAATCTTCATTTATAGGTGTGAAATTACTTGATTGTTTGTGTGTTAAATATAGCACATATTCTCTCTTCCCATAAATTACTATATCAATAATTACCAGTGTCAATGTATGTAATGATTTTTTTTTTTTTTTTTGGTTTGAGACAAGAACATCATTCTGGAGGAAACATTTATATGCAAAAGTGTGCCCTTACAAAGCTCATTTATTTAACATGATTTGCAAGAGTACGAGATTTACCATTTTCAATAACTCCTACTTGCTTTACTTTCAAAAAGTTGCACAAATATCTAGTCCACATTTAGCTTGTTTACCAAATTCAATAAGTCATGGGATATAGAAGTAAAACCTGTCATTGTCTAATTCTAACTACTGTCTTCATCACTATAATATGACCACCAATTCAATTATGAAAACCATGACATTGAAAAAGAAGTTAAATTTCATGCCAAAAGGATTTTCTGACTCTGTCAGAAAGTTTATCACAATCAGTGAAAACGTATGTCATGAAAAAAGGTAGGCCTTTATGTATAGTTGTACTTTAAAGGAAAAAAGCGTTACCGAGTTTAGTCATCTAAACACTGACTAAAAGTACAAAACATAACATGTACACATTATCTAAAAATACATCGAAAACTAAGTTACAGTTAACATTTCCAATCCTAACAATGATTATGATATACCCATAGAAGTCATCCATGACAATATAAATTTAATCTTATGTGTACACCTTTTAAAACCAAGTACATTTCTAAACATAAAACATTTTCTTCCGTTTATTAGAGCATCAGTACAGAAAATGGAATATCAGTCATTCATATTGCCTGTACCACAAACTATATGACTTCACACTGTACAGTGTAGGCAATTAGTTTAAAGGAAATCATTAATGTACTGCGAATTAACCCTTTGTTTTTATTTGATAAGAAGAGACAACCATTCTGTCTACAACTTCCAAGAGTAAATGAGTATAGTATACAATATCCTTTGAAGCCATTCAGTAAAATAACAGTTAAGAGTATGATGGCGCTACAGAAAGCATGCAGTTGTGTGCCCGCCCATCTCTCTTCGCAAGATGTTGCCGCTTATTGGGGACTTTGATTTTCATTAAGTATCTTAAACAGGAAAAAGGCAGTAGACAGCATCTACTCTAATTATTAAGCCAGATCACAAACCTACAAATATATTGCTATCTTCATAACACAGACCCAAACTTTACAAAGGGGAATGTCCAATCAAACTGAATCTCCGTATTCTCTATGTAGATTCCACTTAGCAGTGACCAGCATTTCGTTTTGCTTTTTGTAAAATGGAAGAACAAAGTACCTTGGCTAAAGTATGGAGAAAAAAAAAATCACATAGAATATTAAGTAACACCCACCTAAATTAGACAAGTAGTCTGAATTTTGGAATATTTTTTGTAACATTTCAATTAATATTCTGAAGAAGAATCAAGTTACAATCTTTAATATTCAGAGCCATTTTTAAGTGTATGCCAAATACTGTTGGCATTGAAGCATTAAGTATATTTCCAGAGGGACTAAACTAATTCCTGATCTAATCTAAAAAGAGCATCTACAGTTTTTCCAGAAATAACAGTTACCTGGATGTACTTATTTCCTCCCAGTTTTAAGAAGTTGTTAGTCTCATTTTCACCATCTCACATAGTTAACATTAAAAGTACAATAGATATACAATAAGGATTTTTCTGCAGTATGTTACTATTTTTAGGTGTTGGAAATGGTCAGACCTCCAAAATGCGAATTAAGGAAAGCCTACTTTCCTCATTGTTGCACATAATTATGCATTCACCAGATTTGGTTTCAGCTACAAGACCATGAGTGTTGTTAAATGCATCCTAATGCCAAAATAGAATCGATTTCTAATTACAGGAATCAAAATTCAGTGGCAACATTTTTTTCAGCAAACAATGCATGGTGCACAAATGTATAGTGAGGAAAAGATTGAGGGGCAAAGGTTTCACAAATATGTATTCAGAGTAATTAAGGGACAGTATCATGGTACTCAACATGGCAACTTCTTGTTTACAGTACCTACTGACCCATGAGTCTGCTTTTTCCAGGCAGTAACAACTGAAAGATTACTATATAGAAAAAAATGGAACAAATAATCATATGCCAATCTTAAATACAAAATATTCTGTATAGCACACTAGATAAAATAGTATCGCAAAAATTTCAGATACAAAAAATTTCAGATGCAAAAAGGAAAATATGAAAAATAGATCTTGTGCAACTGCCACATCTAGTTTGAGTTAAGAGATTTCAAAGCTACCAGAAACAAACTTGAACATATCACAATCTCAAAACATAATGCTGAACAGCTACCTGTTCCCCATATTGATATTATAAAATAAAATGCTACGTTCCTCATTGGCTGATCAACAATTCTAGAGAACTTGGAATGTTTTCAAAAACAGGAAATGAATACCATTTTAGAATAACTTAAAAGGCCCAAGCATAACTGGCAAAGCTGGGTACACTGAAATTAATAAGTAAGTGTTTGGGCCAGATTTCACAGGGTTGCTTAGATTTTATATTGGCAAGCCAATTTGTTATTGGTCCTTTCAGAGAGGTATGTAACATTCTTCTAAACCTGCATCCCATACTACTACAGTAAACTTCCGATAATCTGGCACCCTTAGGACCCAGGGGGTGCCAGATTATCAGATTTGCCGGACTATCGGAAGGGGGGGCTATGAGAGGCCTGGGGTGGGGAGGATGCCACCCCA